TTTAACACGTGTTTATTGCACTGTACAAAGGGCAAAACATCGTTACTTAACGACAGTAAAAAATGTGTATCGAAATAAAATGGTGATTTTTTTATACGAGAAATTGTTGTCCAGGGTGGTAATGAAGTGTGTATGCGAACAGATTGCAAAAAATGTGAAAACTGAGGTCGATACAGTCTGTTAACTATGGCCTATTTTTGCAAAAATGTCTGGCAGGATAGCATGCACAGATGCTGGCTACTGTAGTGCATTGAATCATGACCGTTTTTCACCGACTTAACCTGATAGCCTGAAACTCCCCTGACCGGAAAAGGGTTAATATAGCAAATACGGTAGAGCAACTGGTAATAATGTTTTTGCAGTAAAGTTGTAGATTCCTTCCATGCCTTCTCACATTAATTATCATCTGTTTCAGCATTTTATACAAGTGAAAAGATCCAAGATTCTTTGGTAAGCACTGGAATGTTTTGCATCATAAATCATTTTATACATATCACATACCTGCATGTAGTTGTCCATATCAATGATGATTACTTGATGTAATAAAAAACCTGCTAAAAAAAAATGTCAAATTGTTGTAGTAAGGCAAAAAATGAAACTTATTTAATTTCGGAGGGGGGGGGGGTCAAAGGGCCATTTCATTTGGGTGGCAAACATCAAACATTAAATATTCATAGTTATAAAAAATAATAATATTTTTTGTGTTTTCAATTCTTGTATTCATACACACTATATGGGTGTAGCGCTACAAACAGCACTGTTTAAATGTACATCTGATTTAGTATCATTAAGACAATTGAATAAAGCCGTTCTGTTGTGCCTTCATTGCTATATATTTCTACTATATTTTACCTGTGAAATGACTGCTATTTTTGGTCCAAAATCTTTTATTGGTACATCAATATTATTATTTTTTCTGTTAAGTACAAAATAAATTTTTATAGTAAAAAAAACATCAATTTTATTTTTATGTATTTTAAAACAAGGCTCCAAATCTCACATTATGGTTCAAATCATGTTTTCTTTTTCTTTTCTACAGAATCCGACTTGGAGAAGTTTTGATTTACAGAAATCAAGTTTTCAAGTAAATACAGCCGTGTCAAGTATCCTTTAATACTATTGTAGGTTTTGGTTGAAAAATTAACATTACATTTTTGGGCATCAGCAAAGTGTGTCCATGGATCTACAAAAATAATGGAGACGTACACATAGAATAATTACAATGGAACCAATTAATAAATAACTTTGCAATGGAATAGATGCTAAGAATGCAAGAAGTGATTCCCAATTGATATACTTAACATAATATCAACAGATTTAATTGTTAGAGTATGGGGTGGACATGCTGAAAATTTTCAACTCATCATTGCATGGCAGGTAGATCTTAGTGGGTTGAAGTATCTAGGAGATAAGGTGAGTACGATACAGTCCCTTCTGACTGCTGACTTAAATGGTTGACAGAATAACCTTCTGTGCTCCTAAGTTTTTGTTGCTACAAAAATCACTGTTAACAACACCATTTTCTCTGTTTTTCAAAATTCAAGAAAACGTTGTCTTATGAAATTTAAAGCATGTTACATATACCCATCTCAAGCAAAGTAAAATTGGCTGAAATTTAGGAATTTAAGTGGGAGGTGTTTGTACATCTACTCGTGTTGGTAGCGTTTACAAAATTGGAGGGGAGGGTAGCTATTAGGACAACTCTAGTGTTCACTGGATTTTAATTTCACATTTTTTTTTGCAGATAAACGAAATTCTCTTAATGAAATCCATGTGAATGCAACTTGTTGTTTCACTGGATAATCCTATTTGTATTCAGGTGACATGTTATTTTCCAAATATTGGATATTAATGTGTTTATACCTTCATCAGTGCTGTGTAGGCAAAGGAAACGCAGAATTTTGATGTTGTCATGGTAATTGTGAACATGAATGTAAGCTAAAAATGTTGCTGTATTTTAAAGTTGTTTATTATCAGTTCCAAATCTTACATATTTACAGATCCATAAAGATGGAAAGAGGTATCCTCCAAACTCTCTTATATTTGGTATGTTTAATGGTTTCTATGGAGCTCCAGAGAAAGTCGTGGTAAGCTTATCTCATTGTCCTCTAGTCATTCGTGTTGATATCCTATAATAGGGCATTTTGGGATGCCTTAATAGCTTCACTTTATCAGAAGATATTTATATATTGACACAGGTACCATATTATCTCTATCAATAGTGCATGTGCTTACGTAAATCACAGTGATTTTTCTGTGGTTAAAATAAGTAATATTTTAATGATTCAGTATACAACAAATAATATTTTTGGGTCATGTGCTCTTCTATTAGGAAATGCACTTCTATGGTACATGTAATTTTAGTAAATTTCGTTCAATGGAAGAACTCACAGCACTTTTATTTTTTACCTTCATTGTTGTCCAAGTCAAGTACAGCTATTTCTATAAATGGTTGTCTCTTTACTATACATATTACTGGTATGGCTTTTTTTTTAACTCTCTCTCTTTTATACTCTCCTGCTCTCTGTCAGTAGCAAATTCTGTAAATTAAAAAATTTATTTCCAAATTTACTAAAAATCTGAAGATGAATATATATATATGGAAAATTCCTTTTTTCTTTCTTAATTATGAATTTTACTAATACTTAGAACAATCTAGTGAAAGGGCAGGTAATTTGGGTTATTCTCCCTCCGATTTGTTTTCATGATGACAATTTCATTTCTATAACTACAGTGAATATTTTTATCAGTCTTGATAAGAAAAACACTATAACTCAAGATCTACAATTTAAATTCAAATGAAATTTGGCACACAGCTAATCACAATCAAACTTCACACATACATCATACATGATATTATACATATGCACGTCTATTTGTTTCATGATCTGATTCAAGATGGCCGAATGGCAGCCATTTTTGTGCTAAAAATCATCAAAATCAATCATTTCTGGGCTGTTTACAGATGGATTTTGTTCAAACTTGGTATATACACTAGACATTATAGGACCTTGATGCACCTCATTTTGTTTTACAATCTGATTCAAGATGGCCGAATGGTGGCCATTTTTGTGTTAAAAAATCCTAAAAATCAAGCATTTCTTGGCTATTTACAGATGGATTTTGTTCAAACTTGGTATATACATTAGACATTATGGGACCTTGATGCAAATAATTTTGTTTTTCAGATAAGATTCAAAATGGCCGACTGGCGGCCATTTTGTTTTAATGAATGTGGTTCTCGTGCCATATCTCTGACTTGCTTTCACTGATTATGTTCAAATTTTAAACATTCATTATACATCATGTCATAGATAGACAGATATATTGGTTTGATGATCCTATTCAAAATGGCCAAATGGTGGCCATTTTTATGCTAAAAAATCATCAAATAGCAAGCATTTATGAATGGATTTCGTTCAAACTTGGTACATATATTAGACATTACAGGTTCCTAATGCACATAATTTATTTTTTAGATCGGATTCAAAATGGCTGTCTGGCGGCCATTTTGTTTTAATGAATGGGCTTCTCGACCCATATCTCAGACTTGTTTTGACTGATTATATTCAAATTTTAAATATTCATTATTCATCATGTCATAGATAAACAGATATATTGGTTTGACGATCCTATTCAAAATGGCCGAATGGTGGTCATTTTTGTGCTAAAAAATCATCAAATATCAAGCATTTCTGGCATTTATGGATGGATTTCGTTCAAACTTGGTACATACATTAGACATTACGGGTTCCTGATGCACGTCATTTTATTTTTCAGGTTGGATTCAAAATGGCTGACTGGCGGCCATTTTGTTTTAATGATTGGGCTTCTAGAGCCATATCTCTGAAATGCTTTGACTGATTATATTCAAATTTTATATATTCGTTATATATATATATACCGTACTTATGACCGCGTTAGCGCTCAGGGGCTGATTTTTTAGGGGTGGGCGCTTACCCAAGCACCCCCCTCGAAAAAGAGTGCGAATGAAAAATTTGATTCATCAAGTGACAGATTACTTCTTTGAGGGAAAATCAAATTACGAAATTAGTTGAGTTGTCATCGATTTTCACGATGAAGAAACAGAAATGATCACAAAAAATATGCACATTTTATTACAATATTAATTACGTACCACCAGAATTTACGAAATTAAAAACAATTGAGTCTGTTGGAACACAGTCGAAGTCAAAATTGTCATATTATCTCCACTGACGAAGGTGTTGGATCGTACGCAAACTCTCGATGAAAATTGCTTTCCGCCATGATGCATTTGCTGATTTTACCAAAGCAGCGTCCTTTGATCTAATGGATCAAGTTGGTTATTAACCAATCAGAATGCTGTGTTGTACTGATGCAATTCTTCGGAAATTCCCGAATTCCGGTAACGCAATGCGGAAGTGAATTATCAATGTCGAAGTGTGATCTGTTAGAATTGATTTCAGCGTATAAACGATATGGTTTTTCCAAAAACTAGTATCTAGCCATTTTTGAGAGGTAAACTGAATATGGCATGAAATATTTACCGCATTTTACTTGTATTAACAGGTCATTGTCGAAGCCTAGTTTACGCACGGTTACCGTGTTCCACACATTCTCAACATGTTCACAGCAGTCGATATCCACGCTGTATCATATAAAAACGATTACCAGGATTCGTTACGCAAGACCAAGTTTTAAATTAGTTACATTTTGAAAGGGTGGGCGCTTTGCCAAATGTGACCCCAAATATAAGTATTGCGCAAAAGTGGGGGGTGGGCGCTTGCCCGGGCCTGGGCGCTAACGCGGTCCAGTACGGTACATGTATTCAAAATGGCTGATTTTGAATGCTGTTCCAGAGCAATATCTCTCAATATGGACAAGTACTTGTTTGACAATCAGATGTCAAATGATACAAATGTCAATCATTTTAATGTTAAAAAAATCATATTCCTGACATAAACTCATAGTTGCTGTCGACATAGGAAGTAAAGTAAGCAAATAACACCGAATAAA